AATATGTTTTCAGGAAGCCCATCTGGGGACCGAGCCCCACGCGGGATCGCGACTGGGTCCGGGGCACCCTCCAAGTAGTTCCTAGCTTGCCCTGTTGCCAGCTAGGAAGACCTGGGGCCTGATAATCCACACACCTCCTGATAACATGTCTAAGTCCCCTTCCCCCCATAAACCTCTCTAAGTCGTCTTTTGGTGATGGTGACAGGCATAGACTTGCCAGAGAGACTCAGGGTGGGCACCTGGGCCAGGCTGTGGTTCTGCATGGGTCCTAGTATTGGACCCACTTGGTGGTACACCACCCCCCCCCCATAACATACCCATGCCACCTTCCAAAGGTAAGGAACCGGCCTGGGCTAACAAGTAGACCCACAGAAGGTGCCAAGGGCCCAGGTGTTTTCTGGTTCCAGTCTCAGGAGGGCACCCTGAAGTTTCTATGACCTTCTGTGGAAGCCAGGACAGGCCTAGGCCACACATGGAAGCCCAAGGGGGGCATGCTCAGCTCAGTTAGTGGGGCTCTGTCAACAGATGTGTCCCCCTAAGACATTTCTACGTCCTGAGTTGGTGTGGACAGGCCTGGACCAGCCAGGGAGCTCCAGGCTGGGGGCCTTGAGTGTGCAATGGTCTTGTGTGGGGACCTGTTTTAGGAGGCACCCACCAAAGGCATTTCTAATTCCCTCTAGTGATGTGGACAGGACTGACTAGACCATATGTCCTGGGAGTGTGTCCGTGGCCCAGATGCTATCCTTATGTGCTCTGATTATTGTATTCTTCCACCGTGGGATGGGGGGTACAGGCCAGTAGAGAGGCTCCAGATGTTCCCAGCTGGCCTGGGCTCATTCCTTTCCTCCCCACCCGCCACCTCCCAGGACTTACAGATATTCTCTGGAGAGCCATCCACAATCAGAGGCCCACACAGGATGGCAGCTGGACCTCGGGTGCCCCCTGCTGGCCTCCCTCTTTGGCTGGGACAGGTCCCCGTTACTGGCATGGGACTGAGGAACCTTTTCAGAGCCTCCAACAAATGGCCCCACGTGGGGCTGTGGGCAAACTCAGGTCACCATCATCAGACCTCCCTGTTGGCCAGGTCCAATCTCCCTTACTGGAGGGAGCCTTGGAAAAATTTGTGGGGGGGACATCCTAAAACAGGGGCCATGGGTGAGCCTGGGAAGCACTCCACAGTTCTCCCTATCTTGTCCAGGACAGTCCCAGCATCAACGGAAAGACTTAGAAAATTATTCTGAGGCAGTGTCACAGCTGGCCTGGGCCAGTGCACGCTCTCCAATGACGAGTTGGAAATACTTTCCAGATGTGCATTCGACAAGAGCCATGCCACACTGGGCAGTGTCTGGAATGCCTCTTTGGACTTCCCTGTCCAGCCCAGGCCAGCCCCTACCACAGGAGGGGAACTTAGATGTGGGGGTACCTCCAATACCTGGACCAATGTGGCAGATGGGTTCAGGGAAACTTCCTTTGGTCTCACTAGCTGGGCTGGCCTGTCCCTCTCTCAAGAGGGACACTTAGCTGGCCAGTTAACTCAGTTAGAGCATGGTATTATAAGACCAAGGTCAAGGGAAACCTAGGAAAAGGGAAGCACACCTGGTGACCAGGCCCTGTGTGGGACTACAGCAGGATCCAGTGTGCCCCTCCACCCTACCCTGGCACCCCTAGCTGGCCTATACCAAACAGGCCCATTGGAGGGGCACTTGGAAACATTAAAGGGTTAACATGCTACCACCCTCCCTCGGCTTCCCCGTCCACCCTGGGCCAGTCCTTGTCATCAGAGGGTGACTAAAGAACATTGGTGCTCAGTTGGTGCTTTCAATGATTGGCCCCTATGTAGGACCATGGCCAGGTGAGTTACTCCCTCTAGAGGGAGACTTACAAATCTTTTGGGGAGGTGCATCCAGCAACCAGGATCCACACAGGAACAGGGTTGGGAACACCCTCCTCCCACGTCCCTTTCTGTCCCAGGCAGTCCCACTTCTGGAAAATGACTACAAACTACTGAGAAGCACAGCCAAACACTGATCTTCACATGGACCGCAGGTAGGCCTTGAATGTCATCCCTTGCCTCTCTGAGCCATCAAGGGATGTGCACAAGACTGCCAACTGGAGAGGACGTCGGTTCCTTTGGACTCTAAACTGTGGGCTTAACTGCAACATCTCCTTCCTCAGTAGCAGACCCCAGGACACACCAGAAGCCTCTGCCTCCTCCACCAAGACCTCCCAGGTTCCCTGCCCTCAGCAGCCAGCTTCCCCCAGGCCAGGTGGGAGAGGACCCGGGCCAGCCAGGACACAGGTGTGAGGACTCAAGCCAGCAAGTGACCTCCCTGCAGGGCTCAGCCAGGGTTTGCTGATCTTTCTGGCTCATAATGCTGTTCTGCTCCAAAAAACAAGCAAGCAAAACAACCCACACTCAGTCACATCACGACCTGAGTCTTAGTAGTGGCATTTTAATGGCTTTTGTTGGTGGGAGGAGCAGCAGTAAGAGGAGAGTCTGCCCCATCCCCCAAGCAAAGGGCTCAGGCTGGGAGCCGGGCATCCCCACAGGCCTAGCCATCCTCTTTCCATTGGACTGAGGCCAGGAAGGTGCGGATTTCCATAGGCTGCAGTGTGACAGTGGCTGGGTCCAGCAAGGAAGGAGTGGGGTGGTGGGTAGGGCCTGGGGAGGGGCAGGAGAAGGAGGAGTGAGTGGGTGCAGATTTCCTCTGCCTCATTCCACTGTGCCCCCTCCCCTGGCCCTGAATACAGACATACACCCCAAAATCTGTCCCCAGAGTCTCACACTCAGATCCTTAAACTGCTTCCCTGGGCCTGAATACAACCTCCACGTCCCCAAACCCTCTCCAATGCCTGACCACTGCCCTCAGACCCTCAAGCCAACCCCAGGGGTGATGGACACCCTCCCAGAACTAGACACTGTCAGAGACTCTCAAATCTTGTTCTTGAGAATAAACTCTATCCCCAAACCCTCAAGACCCACTGCTAGTGGGCTGGACTCACTACAGATCCTTAAGCCCCTAACCTGGATCTGGACATGGCTTTAGATCCTCAAGCTCTACGCTGGGTCCTGGCCAACATTCACACACTGCCCCCGGCTGCCAGCCCCAGGCAAGACCACACCTGACCCCCACCCTGGGGCAGAATCCCCACCTGTATTTGGTGTCCACTTGAGCCTGGAGGCGCTGGCCCGGAGCTGATTGGCTGCCAGAGTGGTCTCCTGCAGGCGGGTGATGGTGAAGGTGGAGAACAGGTCCTGTGCAGAGGGGACAGGACAGGCTCAGTAGAGGCAAAGCCAGGTTTCCCCGGTGCCCCTCTTCCTTGCCTCTCTCATTTCTCCTTCCCACTCTGCCCTCCTCACCCGCAAATCCAAGGTCACGGGAGAACTCAGGTTGCGGCCCGAATCCTCCCCCACGGCGAATTGGTGCTCCAAGCGCAGCAGCAGCATGTCCGGGCCCCAGCGGGCCAGCGTGAGCAGGTGCACTGAGGACGGAAGCTCCCGGCGCAGCCCTGAGAACTGCGGCAAGTGGGGCGGGCTGAGTCGGAAAGGGGAGGGGCTTGGACGGAGAGGGGCGGGGTCTAGCTGTGGTCAGGAAGCGGGGCTGAGCTGTGGGCGGGGCTTATCTAGGAGGCGTGGTCAGGGCCGTTAAAGAGAGCGCTGAGCCAATGAGGGGATGAGGCAGACTCAGGGATGGGGCAGTCCCACGTTGGGGGCGGGTCCCAGCCCGGAAAGGACCGAACTGATCTGGCTGAGACTGGATAATGTTAGAGCGGGGCTGAGGCTACGGCGAGGCGGGGCTGGCCGAGGGGCGGGGCGAGGTGCAGGCTAGAGGGCGGGGCCGAGGTGAGCAGGTGGGAAGGGCTGGGCTGGCACTGGGCGGGGACTGCTCGTGGGATGAGGTTAAGCGGAGCGAGCGGGACTAGCTTATGACCTCCGGGCGAGTGAGAGGCCGGTGAGGTGGGGGGGTCCCGGCTGAGCCTAGGAAAATCGGCACCCAACCCGCTCCCCGAAGACTTCATTCCGGTCCTCTCTTTCTGCCCGCCCGCCTCCCCTCACCTGCGTGCGATGGGTGGTCCCGGGATGGTAGGGGGCACCGCCACCCGGGGCCAGCACCACCTGTGGGGCCAGGACCTCCTTCTCTGCCAGCAGCCGGTGCCCAGCGGCCGCAGTCCGGACCCGGTCCAGCAGCACAAGGTGCCGCCCTCGCACCCACACCCCCAATCCCGCCTCCAGCAGTGGCTCCCCCACTCCGCGTCCGTCGTCTCTCAGCAGCCTTCGGTGCACCTGGGGGGATAGTGGCCCGGAGAGGGTGAGGATTGAGGGTCTTGCGGGTGTTCTGGGCCAGAAATCTGGACACGGGAATGGCGTTCTGTTTCATCGGGGATCACAGCAAAGAAGAGGGACAGAAACCGCCATCAAGTTCCAGCAGGGGGCCAGGGTGGGAACTGCTAGGAGGACCCTGGCTTGAATGGGGCTGGGACCTACTGACCATGAGCTCCAGAGAGCCGTCTCGCAGGCTGCTGCCCCCCTGGGAGCGGTCAGTCAGCACAGTCAGCTGCATGTTCCCGTCCTGGGGAATGAGGGGCGACAGTGAGGGGCAGGGCTTGGAGCCAGCCCCAGCCCCAGGCAGTTGGGAGATGCTGCGAATGGGGGTGACTCCCACTCTGTAGAGTGGGAAGGAGCAGGTGGGGGGGAGGGGTACCGTGATGTAAATTCGGCTGTTGACTGGATAGTAGTTTCCTGCCACCGGTTCAGTCTGGTTCAGGTTCCAGGTGGGTCTATAATCCCGCCTGGGGTGGGGTGGGATTTGGTCAGGCTTGAGGTCCAACTCTCCCCACTCCTCACGCCCCCTTCATCCTCTCCCTCCCACACTCACATGATCAGCCAATGTCCCCACCACCCCTGGGCCACACACACCACAGAGGACCCCTCAGTGCACTCATTCACCCCACCTCCTCTTCAGGATCTCCCGGCCATTGCTGTCTGTGTAGAAGTGTCCCTTTGTCTCCAGTTGCGTGTCAAAGCGGCTGATGACCTCCTTCCCCCAGCCATCGCTGTTCCCAATGGGATGGCAAGATTGTGAGCCTCACCTAACCCCACTCTACCTTTGCCCCCACACACCAGTCCCAGCCTCTGCCACTCACCCCACAGGTATCGGCCCCACCGTCCACTCCAGCTCCAGGTGCCGCTGTCCCGGGTACAGGCGAACCACTTGGGAACACCAGGCTGAGAAGTTCTGGTACACCTCCTGCACCAAGGCAGTCTGTGGGCACATGGGTGGAGGGCAGGTGTCAGCCTGCACGCAGGTAGAGGTGAGCCCGGCAAATGTCCCCTGGGCTGTGGACCCCACAAAGACCTACATCAGGAGCAACCCAACCAGGGTCTGCCCCACAGAAAGTGGCCAAAGTGGTGTGAACAATGTTCCTTGCCCCTTTTGCTCTGCCACTGGCTCAAATGCAGATGTGATGGCTGGAGCCCAAGCAGCCACCAGGGACCATGAGGTGGACACTGAATGTTGAGAAGACAGAGCAACGAGATAGAAGGGGCCTGGGTGACTGTGGAACTGTCCCACCTTTCCTGGATGGCCCAGCCAAACTCTCTGTTAGAAGAAATGAATCTTCTATCTTGTTTTAGGCACAGTTAATTTGGTAACTCTGTTCCAACAGGCAAAACTATATCCTAATACAGTGACCCAGGTATGCACACGTTCACTGCAAGGGGAATCACGCTGAATATGAGTCTTGCCATTAGCTGTCCCATTCCTGCCCTAAAAGGAAACTTCAGTAAGAGGCCCTGGAAACCGCAGTTCCCAGCCAAATGCACCCTCAGATATCCACCCAAGGTGAGACTCAACCAAGCCCTTTACCTTTTTGGGGGGGTCGGGGGAGCTGGTGGGTACTAGGATCCAAACACTTGACCTTGGTGTTACAAGGTGCCAAGACCTACAGAACTGTGAACTCTCATATATCCACCCCAGATATACACTCCTGTCACCACAGACCTGGGTGAACTCTTCGAGCAGCTACACTTGGCTCTCCTCATTCATGGGCCAAGTGGGAACATCCCAACTCCAGTTTCCAAAGCTGAGTATAATCTTGACATCCACAGCAGATGTGAATGTCTTCCTACACGCTTCCTCAAGAGAGATTCTCGTGCAACCAGCCATGAATCTCAGCCCTGTGCGAAGACCCTCAAATATTCCCCTCGGGTCTTAGCCCCTTTACCAAATGGAGAAGTAAATCCTCCCCTCAGCCAGCACCCTGCACATGTCACAACACCCTCCCAGGCTCCACACATCCCCGCTCCCATCCCCAACTGCCCACTCATCATTCCTGGCCCCGGACCTTCACCAGGTGGGTCTGAGCCCAGCGGCTCACGGGCAGGGGTTTCGGTTGGTTGGGTCTGAAGATGTAGGCACCCGAAACCTGGCTGCTTATGCTGTCACCTATGCTGGCATTGTACCTGAAGCCGGGGCAAGTGAGAGTCAGTTAAGGGGCCCAGGATCCAAGCACCACCCTCCCCCTAACCTGGTGGTCCTCTCTCACCAGAAGAAGGCCTGGCGAATGGGCAGCAGGAGTTTCTGGTCCATGTTCTCAATCTCCATCAAGAGCCCCGTGTTACGGTCGAAGGTAGCCCGGATGTACTGGGCAGAAAGGGTGGACAGATGTTAATGACCATCACCTCAGCCAATTGCAGCTCCATCCTTCCCAGGGCTCAGGACAAAACCTCAGAGTCACTCCTGTCTCCTCTCACTCTCTCATTCCTCATACTTGATACTATTAACAAGTCCCAACAGCTCCACCTTCAACCTTATCCTCAATCTAATACTTTCACCCCTCCATGGCTTTCCAGGACTAGTGCAGATGACTCTTTCCAGGTCTCTTTGCTTCTATGCTGGGCCTCCCATAGTCTGTTCCCCCCGCAACAGCCAAAGGGCAACTGTGACAGCCTAAATCCCATCATAGTCATCATCTCCTCTGGAACAGGACTGGCTTGGGCTTCTGGCACAGGAACCCTGGTGCCAGGACTCACGAGATTTGTGGATGCCCAAGGAAATATTTTTATTTCTCTTAGAATCAGAAGAAAACATATATAATAATGAATAGGGCTGGCTGCTGAGCTCAGTTGGTTAGAGTGCAGTGTTATAATAAAAGATCAAGGATTGGGATCCCTGCATTGGCCAGCTGCAAAAATAAATAAATACATAAATAACATAACATATTATAATGAAGCCTGCCTGGATTATATTTATCTTTATACCAATACCATCATAAAACATATTTTAAGGGCCGGCCCAGTGGCGCACTGGATAGTGCGCCGCTTGGGAAGCGCGGCGGCGCTCCCGCCCGAGGGTTTGGATCCCACATACAGACCGGTTCCCGCTCACTGGCTGAGCGAGG